AGCAGGGCACTGCAGCGGCAGTATCAAATGAGCGGGGCACTGCAGCGGCGGTATCAAATTAAGCAGGGCATTGCAGCAGCAGCCTCAAATTTCTTTAACTGATCAGAATTAGATGGGCTTTCTTTGTGTGAAAATTCTTGGTCCTGATATAGCTCTTGAAGGCGTCCGATGACCATCGACTGATAGCTTGGATCTGCTCTTTTTAGCTGCTGTAAGTTACTGCCCCGATTTGGAAGGAGTGGCTGGAAAATCTTTCTACGGGTATGACTGGTTGGACGATGTTTATTGAACATCGTTTGGATAGATGTTTTTGGAACCAAAAACGTGTGACGGGATGGTTACAGTCATCGACAAAAGAGGGTCAAGAGGGGATGTAGACGTGGTGACCTCTTTTTCCTGATCTGATTTACTTTGTTTGATGAAATAGGAGTTTCGCTGTCAAGCACAGAAAGGTTGGAGACGGTTGGATGGAGTTTGGGGTTGAATAGAAGTTTTTGTGAATTCCAAGCATCTCAGGAAACCACAAAAAGCCAGTATGAACATAGCGTTGAGTCTACGAACGGTATGGAGTGAGTGGTACCCTGTGCAGGGAATGTGGATACATTTAGAAAGGATGTCGAAAGTTTACGGCTGTCAAGCGTCCGGGCTTGGAGGATGAGAGCACTGAATTCCTTTGATCAAAGAGATGTTTGAGAATTGTTTATTTCAGGAGAGGGGGCACTGTAGTTTAATTTGTGAAGAAAAAAAAATAATAATAATTGGATGCCGCTTAGATAACCTTTGATTGACCGGGCATGGAGGTTCTTACAGGTGTTAAGGTAGGAAACGAAAGATGTGATTGAGAAATCGGGAAATGGCAGGTTGTACGAGAGGTGGAAAGCTTTAAATCATCTCCAAGCAGTTAGATAAGATTGGATGGTTCTGGGTGAAACTGCTTGGAGGATCGAACCGAGTGACACGTTGAGGTTTTAAGGGATGCGTTATGGGAATACGAGTTGCGAACAGTGAGGTACTGGGGTTGGCGATGGGTCCGTCTCAGGAGCCAGCGCTCTGAATTTCTGCGAGAATTTGAGACTTCGCTGCAACATTCGGTGGGGTAAGTGGTGGGACTGCTGTGAATGAAGTGTACTGAGGTTTAGATTGGAGAGAAGGGTTAGAAGGAAAAATAAGGAGGGGCCGTAACCTTTTGCGGAGGCAGCCTCATGCACGGATTAGCCTCTGGTGCTTAGGGAAGCACATAGGAAGAGGTAGAAGGAAATGAGGGAGGAGGCCAGTAAGCTTGCGTTGCTGGCTGATGCTGCCCTGCTTGGACGTCTGCAACAGGGGCTGCTGGCCATTGATAGGAAAAAGGAGTAGCGGAAGGGTAAGAGTAAGGTGGCTGCGCTTGAATGGTTAGCGGAGGCAGCCTCACGCTAACGTCTGCCGCAGGAGGTAGAAAGGAGGGGGAAGGATAGGAGTTTGGGAAGCTACTCCAGCGGGCAACGTTGCGTGCAGTGCTGTAGCTGAAAGCGCCGCAGTGATTGGTTGAGAAGAGGAGTGAGGCAGTGCAATGTGAGGAGCAGCCAAGTCTGGGGCACGGCCCAGGCTTGCTGATGGCCTGCTGCATCTTGAAGCTCGAGGGGAGCCGGAACTTGATCTGGAAGACAACGTAAGTAGCAGGAGAAATATGACGACTTTGACATCATAAAATTACGAAAAGACATGCTTTTCCTCTTAACCACACAATTAGTAGTAAGTATTGAAACAGCTAGCCAGCCAAGCAGCACATCAGCTTGTAGAGACTTGGAGAGAGTTGCCTAGCAGTATGCACAATGCATGCGAATTAGGTTGCTAGTTGTACTTGTTCAATAATAATAATAATAATAATGGTTTCTTTATGATACACCTTATTTGTTGGTTTGCACCTATAATTGTACACCGTTTAACTTATTTTCACGAAAATCAAATCTTTTTCATCTTATCTGTCTATCAGAGTAAAATGTGTAATTTAAAATACAGAAAATTTGAGTAATTTCATTGTGTGTTCTACGCAGTTTAGCATCTTGATTACAAAAAATGACATCAACATCCATAATGTCATCATGTCCTTTTACAACAAACGACCTACCTTTAGCAATTTTACTTAATATTATTGCAACAAGGCCTGCGGTGCTAGCGGAGGCAGTCTCACGCTAGCGACTGCTACGTGAGCTGGAGGCCCGGCTACATGTGGCGCTGCGGCCGGAAGAGCCTCGGTGAAAAGTTGAACCGAAGCGGGAAGCGAATGAGGTTCTGCTGCAGTGAGAACTGGGGCGCGGCCCAGGCTCATTTAAGACCTGCCACTGCGACCCAAAGCTCGAGGAGACCCGGGTCTTGTGCGGGACAATGATAGTGTCGAGTGGGCGAGTTCGAGGCTTTGCTCGATCTATTGGCCGCCTTGGCTGATTTGCAGGATGAAGAATAGATCGTACAGATCAGCTTTGTTTACCCTCCGTGAGAATGGTTCATCGGGGGAAAAAAAATCAGCGTTTGCTTCTGCCTTAAATACTATCCACTTTCCGATCGGATGATATATTGGCATGGCCGAATGATACGAGGATGTCGGGGAAGTTGGAAGTCTCGCCGGTGGAGGCGAGGTTAAGCCTCGGAGTCGTGGAGAGCGTGTGGCTGGTAGAGCAGAGCAGAGTGATGAAGCTCGGCGGTGGTGACTGGTGGAAAAGGAGTGAGCCTAGGGCCGGCAGATTGCGATGGAGGATATGCAAGATCCCCAGTACAGGTCTCGTCGTCCTACGGAAAAAGATGAGTCTGTGATATAATGGCTCAAGGAGCAAAACCGAATGCTGGAAAACTTTCGTGGAACTGAGGTAAGTTGGCTGCATATATACACACGTATGTGCTTGTTATGCTGATTAGCTGACGAGCTCCACCTGGGCCAGACTGATTGATTTTCTGATCGTGCTCCTCCCAAACCTTGTTAATAAAACATCATATAAAATAACCCATAGCAGGTCTATACAGGTGGAGCTGGGGAATGTGGTGGGTTTCAGAGGAACTCTGAAAGCGCGCTGCAAATGCTCAAGTGAATGCTAACCATCCATTTAAATGTAAAGTAGAAAGCTCATTTGGCTGCGTATGCAACATGAACCAATCAACTTGTGCAAAGTTGTTTAACGCGTGAATATTATCAGTTATGCTAATACCCGTCAGCCGGCGCCATTTAGAGTTTCATGACTGAACTATACATACATGTGTGTGTGTTTGTGTGTGTGTGTATGTGTGTGTGTGTGTGTGTGTATATATATATATATATATATATACA